TTAATGATGTGCCTTGGTATAAAAGAAGGCTTGATGAACGAAAGTGGTGAGATTAGGGGATCGGGTGCCACGTTCCGATACCAGGATAGAATATGGATCGGGTGTCACGTTCCGACACCAGGATAGAATATGGATCGGGTGCCACGTTCCGGTACCAGGATAGAATATGGATCGGGTGTCACGTTCCGACACCAGGATAGAATATGGATCGGGTGCCACGTTCCGGTACCAGGATAGAATATGGATCGGGTGTCACGTTTCGACACCAGGATAGAATATGGATCGGGTGCCACGTTCCGGTACCAGGATAGAATATGGATTGGGTATCACGTTCCGACACCAGGATAGAATATGGATCGGGTACCACGTTCCGGTACCAGGATAGAATGAGGATCGGAGTGTCACGTTCCGACACCAGGATAGTATATTGAGGAGCGGAGTGTCACGTACCGACACGAGGGGAATAAAGATAATGAATCTTGAAATATGTTAATATATCCAATCTAATGAACTAAATTCCCAAATGAGTATGATGAGGAGGTGTGAGTCCTCATTGATGTGCTTGGTGTTGTAACCAAGGGTTATGGTAACTGTAAATGCTGCATGCTAAGGATATTAGTTGATTTTATGATATTGCTTAATACATACTGTTTTCTATTTTGAGTTGGCCGATGATATCTACTCAGTACCCGTGTTCTGTACTGACCCCTACTTTTATGTTCTCTTCTTGTTTATTTGTGGAGTGCAGCAAACGTGCCATCGTCTTCAACTCAACAGTAATTCAAGCCAGTCTTGCTACATCGGAAATTCAGGGTGAGCTAATGCTTTCTAGCTTGGACTGGATCTTCTTCTTCAAGTCTTGATGCCTTGAGCTTCCGGCATGGACTAGCTTCTTATGTATTTTTAGCTTTTAGAATACTCTTAGTTTAGTCGTTTGATCGTAGATGTTCTTGTAATGATGACTTTCAGATTTTGGGGATAATAATAGTTATTGATTTTATTAATGAGTTTAAGTCTTCCGCATTACTTTATATTGATATTATATTGAAATGTTAAGGTTTAGATTAGTTGGTTCGCTCACATAGGAGGGTAAGTGTGGGTGTCAGTCGCGGCCCGGATTTGGATCGTGACAGTTAAATAATAAAGAAAAAAAGCTCTCTACATTTGTGGTTTTTTATTTTTCATTTCTATTTTTCAAATAATTTAGACATTTGCCAAGTTATTCTAGTTCATGTTGTTTATATGGTAAATTAATACTGTTTCATATTTTCAATTTTTAACTTATATACGATAACAATATAAAGAAATATATATATTTATAAAAAAAATGATTAAAAAGGGAATGACAAATGAGAATATAAAAAGCAGGTTAAACCCATTGGTAGCCCCTAAAGTTGACATCAATTTTCACTTAGACACTTTAACTAGACTTTGTTCATTTTAGACACCTTATGTTGAGTCTCGTTGTATCATTTTGATATTTTTTACTGACTTGACATATTGTGTGTGTTATACCAATTTTGAGTGTGTGAGATGTCTTTTTTTGGATGTTTTTGAATTCTTTTTCCTTCTATTTCTTCTTCACTTTTTAGCCCTACCACTTATTCCACCTTTCCCCCATGAAAATTCATGATAAAAAAATCATACAAATTATGAAAAATAAAATGAAAAACTATCACACTAATTTTTAAAACGTTTATAAGAATAAAATTTTTAAAAATCATCACACTTATTTTGAAAAGATTTTTTGAAACAAGACATATTTTTCTCAATAAAGTTAGAAGAATGTCATATATAATTTTCAAAATCAATTAAAAAAACCCCTAAAATCTAATGATTTTTTTAAAAAAATTGGGAGAAAATTTTTTAAAAAATGATTGTAGAGTTGGGGAGGCAAAAAGGATGGGGTAGGAGTGGGTAATATAAGGTGGAGTGGAATGGTAGAAAATAAGAAATTTTATTTATTTATTTTTGCTGAAAAATTAGTAATTTTTTAAATAATTTATTTTAGAATTATTATTTTTATATTCAAATGCCATAATTAGCTTTTAAGTAGTTATTATGTCATGTCATTCACAAGTGTGTTATACACAGTTTATAGTTTTAGCTGATTGATAAAAAAATATTAAAATATTATAGTAACATTTATTTAAAGTGTTTTAAATAAATAAAATTTATTTAAAATGTTTAAATAAAAATTAATGCCAAATTTAAAATGTCGTGTATTGATTCAGCCTAAAAAGAATGTACAAGGTGCAATGGTCCTTGCATCTACCAAGTGATGATGTTAATAGCACGTGAAACAAAATGACAAACTTTGTAATGAAATATTATAGTCGGTGGAGTATTAATTTGTGCCGACTTTTTCTTTATTCTGATCAAAACGGGAAAGAGTTTGATTTTGAGTTGATATATTCCTTATTATGAAAGTGATTTATATATATTTTTATGCATGAATAAATGATTTATATATATTCTTTTCTCTAATAAAAATTAAAAAAAAAAATTCTAAAAAATATAATTTCATATGAATAAATTTAATTTTCGTCATTTTTTTTGATTTTTTTTGTTTTAGTGATTAATTTAGAATTATTATTTTCATAATTAAATTTATTCATGTTTCACTAATATATGTAAAACTTATTGTAGATGACCAAATTTTTTTCTTCTTTCGAAATTGATTCGAAATTTTGAAAGATACAAAAATTAAATCCCAATATAGGCAAAAAAAATTGTTTAAATTTTTTTCTTTAAACTAAGGCATGAAAGAAAAAAATAAAATAAGAAACTCAAATAATTATAATAAAAAAAGTCAAAAGATAATTTATGTATGAAAAAAATAAATATATCTTTAACTTTGATAGAAGAATCATATATATCCCTAAATAATTTTTTGAAAAAGTTAAAAGTAAAAAATATAAATTTTAAACTAATTTTTTTAACTTCCGTTAATTGAAGGTATATGTGTGTACTCATTTTGTAACGACAGTGATATATGTGAGCCGTTTATATAACTCTGTAAAAATATATATGAATTACTTTTATAGCAAAAATTATATCAACTCGAAAAGATAAAGTCGAGGGATATTTCATATCTTTTTTCCTAAAAGCCTCAAATAATTAGTATGAGAGGTATAATTCATCTTTTATAAAATACTAGTTACAACAGGGCCATGTGTCAGTATTGATCTAATATATATTCTTTTTTAAATTTTAATTGATGTGACAATAAATAAAATTTGAACAGTTAATATAAACAGTTTCATTTATATAATATATATATAATATACGATGATAATATAAAGAAAATTCTAAATCATGAATATATTTATTTAATAATTTTTAAATTTCCTTTAATTAAATTTAAATAGCATACTGCAGGATTTTTTAAATAAAATGGTAACTATTGTTAATATAATTAACTTGATATAGCATGTTACTATATTTTTATTCTCCAATTTAAATTTACAAGATAATCATCTGTCCACGTGCTAACATCAGGTTCATCGTTTTGTAGAGGGAAGAGTCACTGCACCTTTTTAATTTTTTTTTTATATTCTCATTGGCCACTCCCTTTTAATCATTATTTTAAAAAAAAGACAATTAATATTTTATTCCATTAGTTAAAATAATTATATATTTATTAGTTAAATGAATACAATATTCTTTTTATGTATATCTTATATGTATTAATGAGCTCCACAACATTTTCACTCCAAATATATAGTAAATCAGGTGTTCATAAATTTCAAGAGCAACATCATATAAAATATATTTACAACACATATTTAATAATATTTTTAACTATTTCTATCTTAATTTCTATAGAAATTGGTTTTAGGAAGTTAAATAATTTTAATTTTTAATCTAATTTAGATTTATTAAAATAAAATTTATATTATTATAAATGACAATAATAAAAATTTAGAAATATTTACAAATGATAATAAAAAATGACACGTGAATTAAAAGAGATAAAACAGCAATACGTTCGGCTCCGCCCACCTTATATAATTGCTTTAATGTGGTCCTCCTATTGCTGCATCTAGTAAGGTATACAAATGATAAAATAGTCATATTTCCACCTTTTTTAAATTTACTTTTTAATTTTAATGGATTTGAAATTTAAGAAATGGAAGAAAATTAAAATTAGTAAATTTTGTGATTTTAAATTAAAAATAATTTTATTATTTTAAATATATCAGATAAAAAATTAAATTAAAAATTATTAAAAGAAAAAAAAGACATTTTTTTTAAAAATCGACTAAACAAAAGAGTATTCTCCATCTCAATTTATTTAACCTTTCTTTTTTATTCTATTAAAACTATGAACATGTCTTTTTCAACGACTCTTTAGTATTAATATATCTTAAAAAATAATTACTGATTTTACATAAATTAACACATTTTAAAAAATAAAGCGATACTTTTTGTTTATTATCATTTATAACAATGCTTTGATAAGTCTGTAATATGTATTAAAAGTAAATTATGCATGCAATATATATGAATAATAATTGTTTTTTGAAATATATCATGTTTGTTTGGTAAAAAATTGTCACATTGTATTATAAGTGTATTAAAATGTGTGATAAATGTATGATTCATCATTAAAATTTGTATTATATGTGAATAATAAATTGTTCTTTGTAATATATATTAAACTTGTATTATAAATGAATTAAAAGTGAACAAGTGAAAAAAAATATTATTGCTATATAAGGTAAATATTTTTTTATCATAGTATATTTATGTAAGTTTCCCTAAATTAACATCTCAGTTTACATAGTTAAGATTACAAGATTAAAACACATTTTGACACAATTATATTATTTTTAAATTTATATCATAAAATTCAAAAAATTTCTTTATTTTATTTTTTTTAAGCTATGTCACGTTCTCAATTAAAACAAAAACAATCAAATAAACTAAAACAGATAAATATATATTTTATGTAATGCATATTCAGCTTGAGCCACCCGTAACCCACAGTCAATCATAGCTACACTTTATAATATAATAATAAAGCATCTATATATAATTGTTCCTACTTTTGTGTGTTTATCTTGAAGTGAGAGATGGGGAAACAAACTTTGCATCTTCCATTATTTGAATCAAAGGAAGCTAAAGGAAAAATTATATACAAGTTATTTGCTTCAACAATATTTGTGGGTATTTTGTTAATATGGTTATATAGATTAATTAATATGCCAAGTAAAGGTGAATCTGGAAGATTATCATGGATATGTATGTTCTTAGCTGAGCTTTGCTTTGGGTTTTATTGGATTATCACTCAATCCGTTCGTTGGAATGTTATATATACTTATCCTTATAAGAACAGACTTTCCCTCAGGTTTGATTTTTTTTCATTGAAACTTTTATTAAAATTTCGATAAATATTACTATGCTTTTGAATTGAAAATTTAATTTAAAGGTCTAATGAATGTATCGATAAGACTTTAAATTTTATTATTTTTCTTAAGATAAAACTTAGGTATATATGATTGGTCTTTCACCTTTTTAACTTCAGTTTCCTTTTCATTTTTTTTTTCTATTTTCTACTTTTGTTGACTTTTTCAATAGTATGATTTCAATTTGTTGATTTTCCACTTTTGCCCTGTTTGAATGTTTTTTTTTTCGTTTGCTGAACATAACTCTTAATTGAATTCATGATTTAACTTATAAAAAATTCGAGTTTGCATTTGAAGTTCTATCACAACTCATTTGATTTGTGGGTTTGAACTTTGAGGAGTAGTATAATAATAATAATAATATATCTGTATTAAAGGTAGCTTGTTTGATATAATTTTTTATGCTATGTATAACATATTCAATCTAGGATTGATATACTTTTCGTTATAAAAGTGGCTCATATATATCCCTACTTGTAAACAAATGGCTCACATATACCCTTTTCCTCTGACGGAAATGAAAAAATAATAATTTTAATCTAAATTTTTATTATTTTTTTATAAAAAATATAATCCAAAATTTAATCCTCGTCAAACATATTTTTTCTGACTTTTTTTTGTTTCAATGACTAATTTATAATTATTATTTTGATAATCAAATTTATTTATATTTCACTAATATTCTTGTAAAACTTATTGTAGATGACCAAATTTTTTCTTCGAATACGAAATTAAATTACAATACACACAAAAAAAATAGTTTAATTTTTTTTATTTAAAACTAAGGAATGAAAGAAAAAACAAAATAAGAATAAGAAACTCAAATTATTATAATAAAAGAAGTCAAAAAATAATTTTTGTATGAAAAAAATTAAAATATACCTTGAACTTTGATATAAGAATCATATATACCCCTAAATAATTTTTTTTTTTAAAAATTAGAAGTAACAAATATAAATTTAAAACTAATTTTTTAACTTCCGTTAAATGAAGGGTATATGTGAGCCATTTTGTAACGGCAGGGGTATATGTGAGCCGTTTGTATAACGGTAAGGGCATATATGAACCACTTTTATAACGAGGGGTATATCAGCTCTAAATGACAAAGTTGAGGGGTATATCAGACCCTTTTCCCTTCAACCTATTATAAATTGAGAAGCGTGTTATTAATATCATGAATTCTAGATTATAGTAATGTAATAAAACTCATTTATCCCTCAACCCACCCTCCTTTTTTTTTAATACGTTTTTTACATTAAAATTGTGGATGATATTTTTATGAATGAATATTTTTAATATATAATGAATGTTATTTTCAATGCAAAGAATCAAAACAATGCATAAAAAATAATATATGTATAATTAATGAAAGCATTTTGTTTATGTTAAAGAAGTATCTCTTTTTTTATTTAATAAATTTTTTTAATTCTAAGATTCTATATGGCAGGTCTGTAACCATAATATTCGAAAGGAACTACAAATTTTCTTTTTATTTCTTAAAGTTCATGCACAACACTTGAAAATTGAAACATTAAAAGTACTTATTTAGTAATTTTTAACATATTTATAGATCATCAGAATCCAAAAAAAAAAAGAAGGATTATTCGGTTGAACCCATAAGGAATTATTTGATAACTGGTTAGGAGAAATATCGTACATGTATTAGATCTTGCATAAGTAATCTCATTTGATAAATATATAAAACTAATACAATATTTGTTTAAAATTTATAAATATTTATAACTAATACCGGTATAAGTAATAAGAGAATCGATGTGTACATGATAGAAAATGGAATAGCTCAATCCTGTGTAACGAATTTCTACATCAAACAATACATAAATTTCCTCATAACTAATTCCTGTGTATACTAATACCTGCAAAACTAGGTCGCGCTCATGATTTCGACTTTGCAGATATGAGGGTAATTTGCCAGAAGTAGACATATTTGTTTGTACAGCAGATCCCATAATGGAGCCTCCAACAATGGTGATTAACACAATATTATCAGTCATGTCATATAATTACCCTACTCAAAAGTTGAGTGTATACCTTTCTGATGATGGTGGTTCACAATATACATTTTATGCTCTACTTGAAGCCTCTCAATTCTCTAAATATTGGATACCTTTTTGCAAGAGATTCAATGTTGAGCCTACATCCCCTGCTGCATATTTTCAACATGATGCCTCCAATTTAAATAGCAAAGTTTTTGCACAAGAATGGTTCAGTACAAAGGTGAGAACTTGGTAACAATTAAGTCATGACGGAGCCAACAAAACTTGACTAGGGGTTCAAAATAGTAAACACATGAACTAGTCGAAGGAAGTTTGATGCACGATAATTTGATGAGTTATTTCGAGTTCAAATTAACAAATGTATCTCATATCTATATTAATGTGTTCTTTGTAAACTTTCTTCAGAAATTATATGAAGATATGAAAAGCAGGATTGAAGCCTCCATAGAAAATGGTAGCATTCCAAATGAAATTAAGGCTCAACACAAAGGGTTCTCTGAATGGAACACTAAAGTTACAAAACAAGATCATCACTCAATTGTTCAGGTATATCATATTCTTTTGTTACTGCTAATTAATAATTAACGTGTCGAAAATCAACAGAGAAGATGTAATTTGTGTGTTTCCAGATTTTAATAGATGGAAGAGATCATAACATGATCGACATGGAAGGGAATAGATTGCCAACGCTTGTCTATATGTCACGAGAGAAGAAACCAAATCGGCCACATAACTTCAAGGCTGGATCGATGAACTCATTGGTAAATTAAGCTATGAAACTTATTGTTAGTAATTTCTTATCTCGATCTTTTTAACAGTATCAAATTTGTTGATGTGTGTAGATAAGAGTTTCGTCACAAATAAGTAATGCACCTATCATTCTTAACTTGGATTGTGACATGTACTCGAACGATCCAGATGCAATAAGAGAATCATTGTGCTTCTTCATGGATGAAAATCAAGGGCACAAGGTAGCCTATGTTCAGTATCCTCAACGTTACAATAATGCAACCAAAAATGATATTTATGGAAATATAGCTCGAGTTACTCATGAGGTAAGTTGTAGAAATGCTTCTTTGACAACCCTCTTTTAACTATACTTTTGTCTATAGTTAAACTTCGAGTCTCGACATGTAGATTGAACTTGCTGGTCTGGGAGGTTATGGAGCAGCTTTGTACTGTGGCACAGGGTGTTTACACAGAAGGGAAAGTCTTAGTGGTCGAAAATTCTCTGAGGATCAAACTTTTGAATGGAAAAACAAGCTGCAAGAAAAATCCACTTATAAAACTGTGGAAGAATTAGAGGAAGCATCGAAAATTGTTGCAAATTGTAGCTATGAAGAAGGGACTCAATGGGGAAAGCAGGTACTAATTCCTTTATCCATATGGATATCGTCAAAGGGTGTAGTGGAATGGTAAAGATTTATCCTGTTTTGAAAGATGTTTCAAGTTCGAGTTCTGAGAACATATATTTGATTTAATGTCCAGATTGGGCTGTTGTATGGATTTCCGGTGGAAGATATACTCACAGGATTAACGATCCAGTGCAGAGGATGGAAATCAATATACTATAATCCAAGTAAACCTGCTTTTTTAGGCGTTTCTCCGACAATCTTAGATGTTTCTCTTGTTCAACATAAGAGATGGTCAGAAGGCATGTTTCAGATTTTCATATCGAAATATTGTCCCTTCATATATGGCCATGGCAAAATCAAATTGGGTGCTCAAATGGGATACTGCATTTACCTTCTTTGGGCTCCTCTATCTGTTCCTACACTAACTTATGTGTTGGTTACTTCTCTTTCTCTGCTTCATGGCATCCCCTTATTTCCAGAGGTAAATCAACTTACATGACCATCTTATTTAAAAGCTAATTATGTTCTTTTTTAATAGATGTATTCATCACTCATTATATTGCAGGTGTCAAGTCTATGGTTCTTGCCTTTTGCTTATGTTTTGATCGCTAAGTTTGCGTATTCCTTGGCTGAATCCATTAGCTGTGGTGACACACCTAAGTCATGGTGGAACTTGCAAAGAATGCTGTTGATTAGAAGGACAACTTCATACTTGTTTGCGTTCATAGATGCAGTGATTAAGCAATTAGGCTTCTCACAGACGGCTTTTGCCCTCACGACAAAGGTGGTAGATGAAGATGTACAGAGGAGATACGAGCAAGAGATGATGGAGTTTGGCAACTCATCTGTTATGTTCACAATCACAGCTGCACTTGCATTGCTTAATCTAATTAGTTTCATTTGGGGAATGAAGAAACTTGTTATGGTTGCAACAACACTACAAGAAGTGGGAAATGTGATTCTATGTGGATTAATAGTTCTAGTGAATGTGCCAGTGTATGAAGCACTCTTTCTCCGGAGTGATAAGGGTAGTTTTCCATCCTCCGTTCTGTTTATGTCTGTCTTCCTAGTATCAATAGCGTGTATGCTACCTATCTTTAGATTGTAATAGGACATGAAACTTGGGTTAATAATATTGTGAAGATAGAGGAGCTCTCGTATCAGTCTTTGATACACACCCTTGATAAACTTTATGATCACTTCTTGTAGTTTCTGAATACTTTGTTCTCCCCCTAAATCTTAAATTCCTGAGGTAGTTTCATGTCATTTAAATCACCTGGAATACATCCATCTGATTGATATGTCAATGTCTTTGTGCAGCAATAGCCAACACTGTTTAGTTTCTTGATCTTCCTAGTGGCTAGTACCCTGGTGCATGATTTGTGTCGGTATGGAACAGATTCCTTAGACTCTAGCTTGAAAATGGAAACACATCTCTATTGTCAAAAAATACCATTGTTTGTTAGATCATACAAGATATAATCTTATTGAGTTTCATGCACGTTTTTAGCAAAGCATAGGCAACCAAATTGGGATCGACATCAAAAAATAAATACTATAACAGAAAGCCGTCTCTACATCATTTGCACACACTTTCTGATGTGGATCTCAAGCTCATTGCTTTAACTTACTCATTGGAGGCTCAATTTCATGGAACTCAACATCTCCGAGATCACCCTCCACCTATTCACATGGTTAATGTGAAAAGGTTGCCAGAGAAGGACTTGCCTGGATGGGGCGCTAACGTCCCTAATCTGAAAGAATGAGAAACAATAGAACATGCACTTGATAATGGAGCAAACACCAACTCTAGAATTCTTCCCTCGAAAGTTTTGAGCTTGAATGTTATTCCTCTCAATCAACAAATGGTAGAGATGATTCTGTCGTGAATGGTGGTGATTCTCATTCTGAGAATCAGACAGATGAGGGGCCTGAATCAAATGATGCTAAGCAAGACAGTAAAGAATACAATTTGTCACTTTTTCTGTACATTGCTTCTGTTTTTCCCAATTAAATTAGCACTGAATGCTTTCAAGAATCAAATTTGTTTGGTCTGTGAAGCATAACCATGGAAGTTCTCTCAAAATTTTAGTTTAGTGATTTCGTGTCTGTTACACCCTGCACACAACACACTTGAAGGGGACCTCAAAACAGTGCTTAGCAATCGTTTAAGAGTCTTATCAGACGCTGTAGTCAATGCTTGGAATCCTCTCCTTAGTCCAATTTCATCTAAATATCCTAGAATCTGTGTAGCTCAGACACTTCAAAAATTGTTCTCTGATCTGCGTGGGATCTTCCAAAAATGCATAGCTTTTGGAGGATCTCACACACACTCGACAATATTTGTAACTCTTCTGAGCAATGTAGCTAGAATGTAAAACTTTTTTTTGTTGATTGCTCCCTTTATAGTTCTCCCTGCCTTTACCTCAAGGGGATAGAGATGCTGTTACCAAGAACCCAATATTACGTGAGGACCAACTTCCGCAGAAGTGTTATTTGTAGTTTTGATGATGTAACAAACTCAGGGACCTTGTGAAGGTACCGGTTCTTAATATGAATCGTTCGTTGACTGCCAGCTGGAGAAAGTACAGAAAGTTGGTGCACAGTTCCCAACTGCGTCAGAAACGTCAGACCTTTCCAACCAATGGCAGGGATTTAACGAAAGTGACTTGTTTATACAATATCATCTTTCCACACATTGCTCTTTAGTTTTTGCAACTTGAAAAGGCACATTCGAAAACTCTTGCAAAAATCAAGGACAAGAATCATTCAAGAACAACCTAAACTCATGTGTACATTGTGTAGTTGTTTGAGAATATATTCTTTCGATCTTACATTGTAAACTGATCCTAAATCTATAAAGGAATCAGTGTGGTCTGATCTGAAATTCTAAGTTAGTTAGTTGAACTAATTTAGTGGGTAACTTTTGTGTTGCTTAGAAAATTCTAAGTTGTCTAGAGTGATAGCTTAGTGGATAGAGTAACATCTACTTAGGCTCATCAAGCAATAGAGTTATTGCTTGTTGGTGAGATTAAAAACTTTTTCTCACATTTGTGTAACCAATTTACTTTTGCTTGTGAAGATTAGTGAAACGGTTGTGAAAATTCTGTGAGACAGGTTGTGGTTTTACTCCCTTGAGCAAGGGGTTTCCACGTAAAACTCCCCTGTTGTTAAATTGCATTTACTTTCTATTATATCCTTATTTGTGTGTCAAGGGACCTGGTCCATTAACTGATAGTGAACACACAGATTCTAACAAGTGGTGTCAGAGCAGGTACTCTCTATACGGTTAACACCAAGAGAGTGATTCGTGTTCTAGAATGGCTGCTCCACTTAATCTGGAAAGAGGGCCAGTCTTCAACTAGACCCCCTCGTTTCAATGGCCACTTTTATAGTTGGTGGAAAGTGAGAATGCATGTCTGTGATGAAGCTGATAGGAAGAAGATTGAAAAGGGGTACAAAGCAAATAAACTTCTTGTCTTTGGTATAGGACCTGATGAGTTCAATCGTGTCTCAGTTTGTGAATCTGCAAAAGAGAGCTGGGATTGCTTAAAAACAGCCCGTGAAGGAACTGAACAAGTAAAAGAGTCAAAGATTGATATGCTTACATCTCAGTATAAAAATTTCAAAATGAGAGAAGGTGAAACTATTCATGAAATGTTCACTAAACTGTAATCAATCACAAATGAGTTGAGAAGTCTTGGAGAACCTATCAGCATGAGTAAGCAATTCAGGAAAGTGCTTCGAATTCTTTCCAAGTCTTGGGAAAGTAAGGTTGATGCTTTACTGAATCAAAGGACCTGAAAGTGTTAACAATGGATGCTCTCATTGGAAATCTAAAGACTCATGAGATGAACCGAAGTCATGATCAGTCAAAGAAGGAAGTCCAAAAGATAAGTCTTTGATGCTGAAATACAGATCTGAAGAGGAATCCAGTGATGATGATGATATGGCTTACCTCATCAAGAGGTTTCAGAAGATTGTGAGGAAAAACACAGGTTTTAGAAAGGGAGCAAATGTTCCTCGAACTGGACACTTTATAAGAGAGTGTCCATTACTCAAAGCCAAAAATAAAGAATATCAAAAACCAAGAGGTGATTAAGAAAATCGAAGGGACCTGGTACTCGATAAGAATGATCAGAAAGTTGCTGCTGACTATGTGGTCAAGAAAGCTCTTGCTGCATGGGGAGACTCTTCGAGTGACTCAGAAGATCTTGACAAACAAAATGATGTGTCAATGATGGTGTTTCATGAGGAGGAAACTATATTCAATGAGATGTTTGCTTTTATGGTTCATTCAGAGAATGAAGATGATGAGGATAAGGTAACACTTCTTGATATGAAACATGATCTGAATACCTATTCTCTTAAAAAATTGAGAACATTAGCAAATGTTATGATTGATTCAGTGATTGAGTTAACTTCTGAAAGAGATATTATGAATGTTGAGCTTGAAAGTTTAAATGAAAATAGAGATAAAATGGGTGAGAAAATGTTGAAAATTGAAGATCAAATGGTTGTTTAGGAATCTGAAAAAATAGAACTTAAAAACCAATTGCATCTGATAAATGAGAAAGATGAAAAACAAAAAGGAAAGTCTAATGGTTAACAAGCTGAGCTTGAAGAAAAACTAGAAACTCTGAGACTAATCTTGTTTTGGCTTTGGAAAGGAGCAACAACTTAGAAAGAGATATTTTCAAACTTAAAGATGAACTTGAAAAATCTCTTAAGTGGACAAAATCTTCTAAGTTGCTTTCAAATGTAACAAATCAAAGTAATTTCAACAAGAAGGGTCTAGGAAGTTTGAATATTACTCCTCCTTTCAATCCTCACAGCAAATATGTATTTGTGTCTGACAATTTGACGTGTCTTCATTGTGGTAAAAATGGGCATTCAAAAGAAGAGTGTACTGCCTGGAGAAAGTCACATGAGAGACTTTCAAAGTAAACAGAAAAGCAAAGAGTTTCAAAAGAGAGACCTGGTCCCATAAAACAATCTTCAACCAAAAGGTTTTCAAAGAGAGGACTTGGTTCTGCTAAAAAATACTTCGTCAAAAAGAATCTGAAACTACTTTATTGGGATAGAAACACTTTGATTACTCCTTTTTCTGCTTTCTGGGAAGCCTAATAAGTGATTCTGCTGCAGGTGAGTGAGAGGAGCAGCAGTTAGTGTTGGTACATGGACAGTGGATGCTCTAAACATATGACCGGTGATATCAAAAATTTCCTCTCACTCAAGGAACTTCAAGGTGGAGGTGTCTCTTTTGGTGATGGAAAGAAGGGGTATATTTTAGGTGTTGGTAAAGTGGGAAAATTGCTTGGGGAATCCATTGACAACGTGTATCATGTCAGTGGGTTGAACTATATTCTTTTAAGTGTGTCTCAAATTTGTGACAAGGGAAATGAAGTGAAGTTTACATGTGAGAAGTGCACTGTAGTTAATCTAACTACAAAGAAAGTGATTCTTACTACTCATAGAAGTAAAAACATGTACGTGGCTAACTTAGAAACATCTCATGGAGATGATCTGACATGTCTTAGTGCTCAGAATGAAAATGCTGATATGTGGCATCGAAGACTAGGGCATGTGAGCTCATCTTTATTGAATAAACTGATTTCTAAGAACCTGGTCCTGGGTCTTCCAAAGTTGAAATTTTGTGAAAGTAACAGAAACCGAGACCTGAGAAGGAGGCTGTAGGAGAGACTCCAGCATAACAGAAATCATCTAAGCTGACAAGGACCCAGAAAAGGAGGATGCTGAGGAAGAAGCTAATGGAATTGAAAATACAGACTGAAGCAGAGAAGAAACAGAATGTTGGTCTGATGGTAAAGTACCCAGCGTGAAGCCTGTGTCAAAGGAAACAAATCAGATCATCCTTCAAGCCAAGGAAAAAAGTAACCTCATCGAGAGTATTAGAGTTGCTACATATGGATTTTTGGACCTTTGAAGGTTCGAAGTAGAAGTGGAAAGAAATACATTCTGGTGATAGTTGATGACTACTCAAGGTACATATGTACAAGGTTCTTAAGATTAAAAGCAGAAACACCGGAAGAATTGATAGTGTTTTTCAAAATGATTCAAACAAAATTGAATCAAGTGATTGCTGGAATTAAATCTGATCATGGAACTGAGTTTGAAAACTCAAAAATTGATCATTTCTGTATGAAAAATGGCACTAGTCACAATTTCTCTGCTCCAAGAACTCCCCAGCAAAATAGA